CCCAGACAGGGGCCCAGGGGCTGGCGATGCCCAGCTGGACCTGGCACCCTGGCCAGCAAGGCCCCGGGGGATGGGGCTTGCAGAGAAGCCCCAGCTGGGGGAGGAGGTGGGAAGGCTTCCTGGAGGAAGAGGCATTTGAGCTCAATAGAGGCAGCCACATGCAGGAGGGGCAGGTGATGCGGAGAATTCCAGGGGAGACAATAGCTTGTGCAAAGGCCTGGAGGCAGGGATGGCGGGAGGGTCTCCGCTGAAAGACGCCCCCTCCTCTGGGGGGCCTCCCAGAGCTCCTTACCTGTTGGAGCGGGTGTCCCTGCGTCTCTGCCCCTCCAGCCCTCGTGCTCCAGGACCCTGACCCGACACTCTTGCCCAACCCCCTACCCCCAGCGGCTGCCGGCTCTCTGCCTCCCCATCCAGTCCAGGGGGGCAGCCCAGTCCCTTCACAAAAGGGGGCTGTAGCTCCCTCCCTCCAGACGCTGCTTTCCTGGGGAGGGGGCCCAGCCGGTGTCAGGACTGGGAGGAGTCACAGGCTCCAAGGCCCAGAGCCACCCTCCACTGGCCTCTCAGGCCGGGGCAGTGAGTTGAGGGCAGGGGCCCCAGCCCTGACCCTTCCCCGCTTTACTGCTCTTCAGGATGATGCAGCGCCTTCCTCCGAAGGCAGGGGAGAGGGCTTCCGGGGCCTGGCTCTGGGGCCTGAGGACAGTGTGACCTGGCCTTCGCTGCGGCCACTCCCCAACCGCGAGCCCCATCCTCTGCCCTGAGCTAGGCTCCCTGTGCAAGAGAAGGGCAGCAGCCCCCAGCCAGCCCAGTTCTGGCTCACCTGGGTGTGGGGGGCCAGGATGGGCAGGGCGGGGGATTCCGGGGGCGGGTGAGGAGGGGCTCAGGGTGCCGACACAGAGCAGGAGGGAGCAGACCCACACCGAGGCCCGCCCTGCCTGGCGGTCCCAGTGGCAGACCTCGGACTCATGCTCAAACCATCCTGGACATGGGCCAGCAGCAAAGAGAGTGGCCCGTGCCCTTGTGACCAGAGCCCGGGCTCACCTGGGGCCCCCTGGCTTGTCAGGGCTGAATTTTTCTGAGCCTCAGGGCCAAGGGCCCCTGCAGGGAGTTCCCTGCTCAGGGGGATGCGAGGACCAGTGCCCCCAAGGGGCCAGGTCCCAGCCCTGGACCCCTGCCTCCCCTGCCTTGGCTGGCCCTGGCTCCTGGGGCAGGCTGTCCAGCCCTCGGGACAGAGCCGGGCCAAGTCGGAGGGCCATTGCTCTTGTTTCTTGCCTTTGCCAAAGGGGAACCTGAGGGCTGGATGGGGGAGGAGGCTCGTCCAAGCTCACGAGCGGGGTGTGGGGCCGGTCAGGGTTAAATTGGCATCAGCAGCCCTCCCACTCCCCAGGCCTGGGCTCCACCCTGCTGCCTCCTGTTGGAGCCGCGGCTCCCGCCCCACTGCGCTGCCCGGTGGACTGGGGCCCGGAGAGCGGCTGCCAGGCCTGTGCTGTCCTGGGAGAGGGCCTCCGGGAGGAGGCGGGACCGCGGTGGCCCCAGCTGCTCTCCGGGTGACCGGCACACGGATGCGCAGTCCACGGGGGCGGGGCGGGGGCGTGGGTCTCCCTCTCCTGTGGCCAGGGTGCTGCCATGTTCACCCTCTGTTCACACCATGAGCCCCGCCTGCCAGGGGCTCCGGCCCTGCTGGTCCTCCTCTCGCCGCCGCCCGCCCCGCCCCCGGGCCACAGCGGCCCAGCGCCCATCGTCCACCTGGAGGCACCATCCGGCCTCCACACTGTCCCCGGTCCTGCACTTGCCCCTCAGGCTGTTCTCTACTTGGCTGCAGGGGGTGTTTCGGCGACCGCCAGCCCTGGCCAGCCCTGTCTTGCCCTGTGCCCTGGACGACAACCCTGCTCTGCCCAATCCGCCCGGCCCCGGAGAGGGGGCTGCAGCCGGGGTGGCAGGGCCCGGGTCTGAGGAGGGGGACGCACAGGCACCGCCCCTGCAGGCATGCGGCGGGCAGCCCCGGGGCCGGGCCGGCTGCCGGAGCGAAGTGCCAGCAGCAGCGGCTGGCGTCTGTGTTGCCTGTCGGGGCTCCCCCGGCCCAGCCAGAGGCGATGGGACTGCATCCCGTGTCCCCCCGGAGCGTGGTAGTATTGGCCTCGCGGCCGAGCCTGGGAGGAGGCGGCCTCGCTCAGGCCGTGCCCCAGTGACAGGAGGCTGGAATAGAAGGCAGGCGGCTCCTCCATCCCCGGGGGGGACCTGCTGGGGCTTGTTCTGTCTCAGAAACGAGGGGCCGTGTGGGCGGGTGCAGGCACGTGTGCACGCGTGTGGCTCTGCTCCCTCCCAGGACCTGAGGCAGAGGCCCCCGGCCCGACAGAAGGGGCAGGATGTGGGGAAGCCTCGCTCCACCTTGTCTCACCCCGTGACACCCATCTGCACCTCGCTCTCCCCACCTGCTCGGGTTGGGGGGGGGGCAGGAGGCTTCTGAACCTCCCCCAACCCCGGACCCTCAGGCCTGCGGGGTACTGGGAGGCGGGCGGGATGATCTAGGAGGCCTCCGGGAGGAGGTGAGAGGGCTATGGCCAGCTGAGGCCCAGAACAAGCAGGGTAAATGTGTCAGAGGTCAGACCAGACACCTCTCACGCGACCCAGGCTCTTGGGGTGCCCAGAAGTTGCCACGGTAGCAGCCTCCTTCCAGACACACCTGGCTCCTCATTGGCTCTCTGGCTTCGCTGAAGGGCTGGATGTATGGGTTGCCGCTGCCCGCACATCCGTTTGGACACCGAGGGCAGCCCCAGCGCAGACAGGGTCGAGGCAGGCCTGAGAGTGCCCGGCTGCGGCAGCTGCCGGAAGGGGCCCGGCGTCCGCCCCCGCCTGCCCATTCAGGAGGATGACTGTGTTTGCACTGCGGGGAGGGGCCGCGGAGGTGGCGGCTCTCCTGAGGACTGCCCCCACCAGGCCCCGGGCAGACCCGCCCTCAGGAAATGTTCACATCGTTTGTGGTCTCCTCGTCACCTCCTGCAAGGTGACCGCTCCGAGGTGCTGCAAGCCCTTTCTTGTGTCTGGCTTAGTCACTGCTGCTGTTGCACCTGATTCATTTATCAGAGGACAAGGGAGGGGCCCCACCACCCTGCCACCTAGCATGACGTCACTGAGCTCCCCTCGGGCGGGCGCCCACTCCCGGGCCGGGCTGGCCGGCGCCAGAAATGGCTGTGGCCTCAGCCAAAGGTGGCGAGAGCTGCACAGGACCCATGGAGGGGACAGCAGAGCCGGAAGAGGTGGGGTCCGAGCGCCTAGCTGACCGCAAGCTGGAGCTGAGGGACCCCGAAGGCGCGGAGCTGGGCGCCAGGGAGAGAACAGCAGCCCAGAGTAGGCGTGGCCTAGCCCGAGGTCTCAGAGCGAGTCACCCCGCTGTCACCTGGCCCGCTGTTCCCACCTGACAGAGCCCCAGTGAAGCAGGGGCCGAGGCGCAGATTTCTGCAGATGAAGTCGCCGTGTGTCAGAGGCCACCTGGCCTGGCGAGGGCCCCGCGGGGGAGGCCCCGCTCCTGAGGGCGGCCTCCCTCCATCCCGTGCTTGGGCACACTGGCACCGCCAGGCACTTACTCAGCCTGCCCAGGCCCAGCCCCCGCCGGCGCCCGAGGGCTTCCCCAGCCCTGGCTGAGGGCAGTGGAGGGAACAAAGGCCCAGTCTCTGCCGGCCCAGCCTCCCACTCCCTTGCCTGCCCCTGGCACAGAAGGACCAGGGCCCTGAGGAAGCCCAAGAGCAAAAGTGGTCCCGGCCCCTTTGCCAACGCTGCAAGCCACCCCCCAGGCCTGTGGGGCACAGCAACCCCGCCCCGCCCCCGAACAGGAGGGGCGAGGAGTGGGTGGCCGCGGGGCTGGCACTCAGACCCAGGGGCCGTGCTTACAGCGCCTCCCCTGTCCTCCTCCCGTGCTCGGAGGTGTGGCTGGTCTGGGCCCGGTCACTCCAGGCAGAGCCGGGGCAGGAACAGAGAAGGCAGGGCCTGGGTAGCTCAGCGGGAAGGTCCTGGGAAAGGGGCTGAGTGGCCCTCGCCCTTCCAGCCCTGCCTGCTGACCACCTCCCACTCCAGGGCCAGTCCAGTGCTGGCCCCAGGAAAGGATCAAGTCATGGAAGAGGCAGAGACGGGGAAACTGAGTCAGCACCCACACCTTCTAGTCCCTGACTGGGGTCACCCAATCCAACTACAGATGAAGGAGCCGAAAGCCCCTCGGAAGCCTCCAAGCCCCCGTCTGTGACACAGGGCTGCCGCCCTCTGGAGGCCTTGCGCCCCCAGGCCCCTTCCCTGCTCCCTGCCCCTCCAGGGCTGGCCGGGACCCAGAGGGCTGCATGGGCGCCAGCTGCCCTGGGAGGCCCGGGCCGGCCGGAAGGCGAGCGCTGACAGCGGGGTCGGTGGGTGCGGCCGACCCACTGGACAGAGACGGAGGCGGGCTCAGGGGGCTGAGGAGCCTGGCGGGGCCCCCTTGCTCCAAAGGAGCGATGCAGGCTGACCCGTCCCTGACCAGGTTTCATGTCCCACTGGTGGCCCAGGGGCCGCGGGCGGGGGAGGGTGGTAAGTAGGCCCCTCCATCCCCGCACACGAGCAGCGAGGCAAAGGTCAGGCCCCGGGGCTGGGGGGACCGGGCGCGGCAGCAGCCTGGGCCCGAGCGGGCGGCATCCAAGCAGCAGCCTCCGGTGACTCTGAGGCTTGGCTCCGGTCCTTGGTCCACAGAATCTCTCCGAGCTCCTTCTGTCCACACATCAGCAAAGCCCACAGAGGGAGCCAGTGCTGGGCCTGCCAGAGCCCGAGGGCCAGGGGTGCCCACACCCAGCTTCTCCAAGGGGCGCGGCGGCGCCTTCCGGCTGCGGGCACTTCTGGCCGGTCTCAAAGCAAGTGCCCGTGGGCCCTCGCCACCGCCTCACGTGGGACAGGTGCTGGGATGCCGGCCGCAGTGTCCTTTGGTCCCTGGCCCTTGTCAGACACAATGACTCACTTTTAAAGAAAAAATAATATTTATTTGCAATATAAACAAAGTCCCGTTGCTGGTTCGGGATATATATATGTGTGTATGTATATATATACGTAGGGTCACAAATTTTCCTTCATAAGATCATAAAGCAAAACTGGCCACCCTCTTGGCATACTCTCATTTACACAAAGCAGATGCGTCTTTCTGGGTTTTGTGTTTTGTTTTTTTTTTTAAAGTAAAAAAGAGAGAGAAAGAGAACCATGTACAGCACGGAAGCTTTTGTCAATTTCTCAAATGTGGCAAGACGTGGGTCCGCTGCCTTGAAGAATCCCTGAAAACAACCCCGTGAGGTAAGATGCAGCAGTGCCGCGCGCCGGCTCGCTCAGGGACCCGGCCGGCCGCGCCCCGCCCGGTCCCCACGCGGTCCTGACACCTGGTAGAGCCGGGGGTCGCCGAGGAACAAAACTGGAGGAGGCTAACGGAATCCGTGGCTTTGTTCTGCAGATGCTGGGGACGTGGGGTCAGGCCTCACACCCTCTCGCTTGTCCGGCCCCGCCCTGCTGCGCCTGCCCCAGGACTGGACTGCAACGGGAGCGAGGTTCCTGGCGGTAGAAGGCTTGGGCGACAGGAGCACTGGACAGGCTTCCACTGGGACGAGGGGGCTGGGAGTGGCCGCGGAACCACAGCAACAGCCAGGGCGAGGGGCAGACACTCAGGAGGCAGGGCTGCGCCCCCACCCCAAGCTTCCCTCGGCCACTGGGCCTCCACTCTCAGTCACAAACAGAGAGGAGACAGAAGGAGTGGGTATGTGTAGAAAAGGGCCCGGGACCCAGGCGCCCCCACGGGCCTAGCCCCGGGGGCGATGCTGCTGCCTGACAGTCAGTCCCCTGCAGCCCCTCCGCCAGCTGGACGGCCACAGGGCCTCCCGACTCCTGCCCGGGGGAGTCTGCAGGGGCCGCCGGAGGGGCGGTCAGGGACGGCGCAGAACGCACAGACCGCCTGTCCCGCCTGGCCCACACAGCCTGCGGCTGTCACCACGGCCGGCCAACGCAGGGCCACGCAGGGCCCGGCCGGGCGGCTGGGAGCGGTGGGCACGCCTGGGCGCCCGTGAGGAGTGAGCAGCAGCGAGCCACGCCTTCCGGAAGGGACTGCACCAGAGACAGAGGCTTCACACATGTGCAAAACGCATTTGGTCAAGATCAACACCGGGTTTGTCTTTTCCATTAAGAAAAAAAGAAAAAAAAAAAAAAGGGAAACAAACAAACAAAAAAACCCCAACACTAATTGCTTTTCGAAAAAGAAAACTGAGAATACTTCTCTCTCTCGCAGGATCAAGAAAGGGATGAAATACTGGTTTATACAATCCACTGTTGCATGTAGCCTGAAAGTAACACTTTCCATTAAAAAAAAAAAAACTACCGAGAAGACCGTGACCACCGTCTGTGCTCCAGGGAGTGTGATTCACCTGCCAAAAGGAAAAAGTAAACACGGGTCCATGGACGTCTTTTAAAAAATGCCGAACTGGCCGGGCCTTCAGCAGGAAGGAGGGTCCTGGGGGCGGGACGAGGCCCTCTGACCCCCCCAGCCCGGACCTGCCTCTCCAGTCCGCAGGCTCCGCCCCCCGGGGCCGTGAGGCAGCGCAGCCGCCTGTCGGCCTGGGCCCCTGGCACAGGCGATGTCCGGGTGCCTCAGGCTCCCTGTGGGGGCCCAGCCCCTGCCCACCGGTGCCCCTGGCCTCACGTGGACTCCAGGGTGTTGAGTGGGAACAGGCTGTGGCTGGTGGGCGTGGAGAAGTAGAGCTGCTCGCTGGGGGTGCGGTTGTCACACGGGCTGCTCAGCCCCAGCGTCCGCTCAAAATCCAGCAGCTGCCCCATAAAGTTGAAGTTGGGTGAGATGTTGGACTTTTTCCTCTTGACAAAGTCGTAGGCGTCATTGAGTGACAGGTTCATCTTCTGCATCAGGTAGGCCACGGTGACCGTCACCGAGCGGCTGATGCCCGCCAGGCAGTGCACCAGGACACCGCACTTCTTGGAGCGCGCCTCGTCTGCAACACACAGGCATGGGTCAAGGGGTGCCTCCTGAGGAGCCACAGGCAGGGCTGGGGCACAGGCGTGGCAGGGTCCCTGGCTGGTGCTGCCTGACTCTTGAGAGACCTGGTGACGTCCCCCGCGGGTAGGACCACAGCCGGGGCAGAGGTCAAGAGCACAACAGTGGAGACCACGCGTTAGCGCCGTCACTGGACATCCCTGTGCCTCAAGTTGCTCACCCGTAGGCGGGCCCTCTATTCGCAGAGCTCTGGTCAGGACCCCTGCCAGTCCTAATGCTGCTACAGTGGTGTGCGCAAGGGAGCTGCGAGCGGCCCCTGCCCCCTCCCAGCTCCCCTGCCCCCTCCCAGCTCCCCTGCCCCCTCCCAGCTCCCCTGCACCACAACTAACAAGCTACTGCTGGAAATGAGGGAACGGAAAGGGAGGCAGTGACAAGCCCAAGGCCACACAGCAGTCCTCCTAGGTCACAGCCCTGCCACAGCTGGCTCACGATGGGAGGGGGTGGGGGCTGAGCTTGTCCTCCCGGGGTGCCCCATGGGCACCCCCAGCCCCGGGAGGGAGCAGGGCCCAGCCCATGTGCGGCCGTGCACTGTAGCCTCAGTGCATAAGCCCTGCTCCTGCACGGCCGGGCCCTGGGACGAGGGCCATGCCAGGTCTGTCGCAAGGAGAGTTGGCTTAAGGGGACCATGCACCCGACTCACTAGCTCCCCCGCAGCAGGCCTGTAGGCTGACCCAAGCGCTGCCCCCCCCCCCACACCAGCCCCCAGCCAGTCTCAGACCCCTGCCTCCCACACAGCAGGGCTCAGCAACACTGGTCGAGCCACAGAACCACTCAGTCTTGTCACCTCCCCTTCCCTGGACCCTGGGACAGCAGCCCCTCTCTGTGCCACAGCTGTGCCAGGGAAACAGATTAGGAAGAGGCAGCCCTGTGCCCTCTGGGTCCCCACCTCCCTGCCTGTGAGCCTACTGGGAGCCAGGCACACAGCTGGCACTCAATCGGTGCACTCCTACGCTCCGGCCCACGGGTTCTCAGACGGTCCCTCCTCTGGTGCTCCCTGCCTGCGCCTGGCAGAGCTCCTCCTGCACCCTGCTGGAGGGTGCACAGGACTTGGCATGCAGTCAGGGCTTAGTCCAGGCTCAGGGACTAACTGGGGGCAAGGCCAGCAGGGGAAGGCAGACGTTCCGTGCGGTCTGACCTTGAGACCTGGGGCAGGAGGGGCGGTGGAGCCGAGCCTCCGGTGGCGACACGCCAGTATGCAGGCAACACCTAGCCCCCAAACCCACTCCGGAGTGATCCAGAGTGAAACCGCTTCCGCTGCCTTTATTTTTAGCCCTCTCAGGGTGTGGCTGAGCCGTGGGGGGGGCTGGGGTTGGATCTGGTCCCACTGCATCCTATGATGCTTGGGCCTCAAGTCCTTCACTTGTCAAATGGGGACTAGCGTTTCCCCCACCATCTCACCCTGTTCTGCCCCCTCCCCAGATGCAGAAAGGCCTTCAAGAAGGATAAAGGCATCTACAAGCCAGGCTCAGCCCTGGGGAATCCGGGACCCCCCTCCCTTCCCCCCTCACTGGGGGACAGTGTGGGTGCTAAGGCAGCACCACAGCCCGGCGGGCCAGAGTTGGGAAGCTCCGGGCTGCCCCGGCCTCAGCCCCTCCCCGCCACGCCTCAGCTTCCTTCCTCCCCCCTCCCAGCCAGGCACCTAGTTTTGGTTCCCAGCAAGCGGACGGACGAGGCGGGGAAGCCTCCCACTTCCTGTTATTAAAGCTAGCCCTGCCCAGCTGACACCGAAACGCCCTCCACCAGGCAGGGCCGCCAGCAGGAGGCTCTGCCCTGGCCACTGTCTCCCTGCTGTCGGAGGCTGGAGGCAGAAACACTGGGTCACCAGGCTCAAAGAACCTAGGGTTTCCGTTCACCCTATGTCCCTTCCCAACACCCTGGGCGAGAGGGGAGACCAGGGACGGTGACCTGCACGCAGACTGGGGGCCTCCCAGCTGGCGGAGGAGGAAGCAGGGAGGGGGATCGGAGACTAGCCCGAGTCAGCTGAGGCGGGGATGGAGGGGCCCAGAGGGCTCCGAGCCAGCAAGCAGAGCTCTCTGCTCTGGGGGAGGCCCTCCTCAGCGCCCCCCGTCTCTCTGCACCGCCTATACGCCAAGCAGGCCCCGCCAGCGGCGGGGACCATCTGGGGCCCCACCAGGCATGCGGGGGCCCCCTCATTCCAACAGCTGCCTGTTTTCAGTAGGCCTTTGGCTGCAGGCCACCCTCCAGCCCCCTCAGGTACACAGTAAAGCCCAAACAGGCACCGTGACAGCCCCATCCTGGAGAGACACGTGTGCTGAGGCGTGACGCAGAGCCAGCGAGACCCGTGGGAGGCCTGGGAGCTGGGATGTTCCAGCTCACTCAGCCCCAAACAGCAGAGCCAGAAAAACCCAGGCCAGACGGCAGGGGCGAGGAGGTGCCCAGGATGCAGGGGACTGGCTGCTTAGACCCTGCGGGCCTCGGTGACTCACAGCAGGGATGGGTACACCCATGGGCACATGTTGGCACATGCAGGGCACTCACAGGCCTCGACAGGCCCAGAGGTACCCAGTCAGGCACGGGCGACACCCAGAGTCCCGTACACACCTTGACGCGCCCGCCCGCCCACCCTGCCCCGAGCGTAGCGCGGCAACACCTACCGATGAAGCTGATGGCCTCAGGGAAGAACTGGGAGAGGTTCTGGCTCCAGTGGTCCGAGATGGGGATCTGCTTGTAGGTGAACTCGCCGCCGTGCTCAAAGGCGTTCGGCAGGTTGGGCGTGACGTTGAGGATGTACTTGATGCCATACTTGCCGAGCACATCCAGGTTAGTGGAGTCCTTGGCGCAGCCGAGGTAGAGGTAGGGCAGGATCTGGACGGGGAAGGCCGGCTGGCTGGACGGCACGGGGCTGCCGTCGGACTCGGTGGCACTGCTGGGCAGCTCCCGGTCCGACTCGCCGTCCGAGCAGTCGGAGCTGATGCGCAGGCCCCCAAGGCCCAGCACGGAGGTGGGCGGCGAGCTGCTTGGTGAGGACGAGCTGTCCACGTTGGTCTCGCAGTGCTCTGAGTACTCTGTCTGGAACTTGTTGAAACCACCTGTGGCCGGAGCAAGACAGGGCCTGGGTGAGGGACTGCCGATGCCCCCAGCCAATGCCCCGAGCCCGAATGGGCTGCCCAAGACCAGCGATGACCACAGGTCCGCGTGTCAAGCACCATAACACCCAACAGGGGCCACACCAAGTACGTTACACATGTACCTTCTCCAGTTTTCTCCTCATCTAGCCCATGACCCACTTCGCAGATGAGAAAACTGAGGCCCCAGGAGGTGAAATAATGTGCCTGAGCTCCACATCATTGCTCGTGAAGCTTCAGGGCCCAGCCGTACTGCCACCCTTAGGGCACCTGAGGACAGGCTCCGGCTTATCCCTCTTCTGCAGCTCCTATGTGCACCTGGCACCCACGGGCGCCCAGTAATGGCTCAGTGATGGAGGACAGACAGTCCCATCTCCAGCCAGCACCGGTGGGCTTGCAAACGTCTCTTACAGATGGGACTGCCGAGGCCAGAGCGGTGTCTGGGTCAGAGGCAGAGATGGCCTGGCCTCTGGATTGGGAGTCCAGAGCTTGTCCCCCACCCCCAACCACAGTCAGGGCAAATACTGTGACAGTACTGGCTAGTCCTATCCCCCAGCAGGGGCAGGTTCATAAAAGAGGTCTCAGCTTCACCTCTCCAGAATCCCCCCACTTAGAACACAAGACACCCCCCATAAGCCTTGGACTCACGGAGAGGAAGGGCCACTGAGGGCTCTACAGGGACAAGAAATGGGGAACGCCTTGCAGGGAGGCATGGGCCCTGCGCCCGAGGGTGCCGCAGGCCTCCCCTCCCCTCCCCTCGGCCTGCCCGCCAGCCCGCCCGCTGCCAGCGAGAGGCCATTTTGGAATGTTAATTGGAAACACCGGCTGCAGCCACTCGCCCCCCAGTGCTGCCTCCCCCTTCTGCAAGCTCTGGGCAGTAGGCTGGGGACTGGGGGCCCCGGTAAATCAGAGCTGGGGCAAGGGACACTACTCACAGCCCCGGCCCGGATGCCTCCCAAGAGACGGTGATCCCCAACCTCCCCAACCGGGGAGATACATGCGGGAATGCTCAGCCTCCCCCAACCCAAAGGGTCCCTATGCCCTGGAGGCGGGGGTGGTGCTGAGAAAGGCTCCTGTCTGAGCCCTGGACTTTCAGGGACATGCATTCCAGGCTAGAGGAGCTGGACGTGGCTGCCCTGCCGCCTTTGCGGGGGTCCCAGGAGGGGCCCCTCCCTCCCCTGCTGGGCTCAGCAGGAAGCTGGGCGCTGCCACGGCGCCAGCAACAGTTAAAAAGGAAAGCCCGGGCGGGGAAAAGTTTGTTCAGCCCTCTGGAATCATACCCAGAAAGGGGTGCTGAGGAGGACCCCCAAAGGCTAAACCGCGGGGGCAGGGCTCCCGGGAGGGGCGGATGGGGTCGGGGGCGACGTGGCGCCTGAGGAACAGGCTGAGCGAACAGGCTGAGCGCTTGGAGAGAAAGCGGCCTCCGGCGGGGGCGTCAGGGAGCCGCGGGAGATCCCTAATCCCGGACAAGGGTCTCGGTGCTGCCCGTACCTTGGAGGTAGTAGGCCTGGCAGCCATCGTCGCGCAGCTTTTGCAGGAGCAGGCCAAGCACCGAGGCGGGAGCGCCGGGCTCTGGTTGCCACTCGGCCGTGGCCTCGTCGTAGAGCAGCACGGTGGCCGCCTTGCAGCGCGTGGCGAAGCGCTCCTTGTCGGCGTGGTTAGGGATGATGGAGCGGATGGGCAGGTTGCCCTTGCGCAGGCGGCGCAGCATGAGACCCGGGATGGCCAGGTTGATGGCCGTCTCGATGTGCGACGACTCGAAGAGCTCATGCGGCCGGCAGTCGAGCAGCAGCAGGGACGCACCGCCCCGCGCTTCCAGCTCCTCCTGCAGCCACTCGGCGCTCTTGCACGGCATGGCCCCCGCACCCGTTGTCGCGCCTGCCCCGGTGCCCGCGCCGGACCCCGCACCGGGTTCCGACCCCGCCCCGGTGTCCCCAGCCGCCGACGTCCCCGAGGCCGACATGTGCGCCCGCGCTGGGGGGCCGCGGAGCTGGTTTTTCATGGGGAGCGCGGGTGGCCCGGGGCCGGGGCCGGGCAGCCCTGCCCAGGGACGGCGCCCCGGCCGCGCGGGCCCCAGCCGCGTCTCCGGGCGCCCGCCTCCCGCCGAGCTGCGTACCCGCCGCCCCGGCCTCCCGGCCTCCGTCCCGCCCGGCCCTCCGCGCGCGCCGCGGCCTGACAGCCCCAATTAAACGGCGGCTCGGGCGGCCGCGCGCTGAGGCGTCCTCCGGGGGGCGGGGCCGCGGGGCCGGCGCCCAGGCTTAAAGGAGCCGCGCCTCCGCCGCCCCTCCCCACGGGGTACGAGTGCGCGCTCCCGACCCCGTTTGCCCTGGCCCTCGTCCCGACTCCCCTAGCCCGCCGCGGTCTCGCCTAGCCCGGAACTGGCTATGACCCGCCTAGAGAGCCCAGCCAAGACGCCCTCCCGCGTCCCCTATAACCCGCGCGCCCAACTCTACCGGGCGCTACAGGGGGCGTTCTGAGTCTGGCATCCCCTCCCCACATTAACAGAAGCAGAGTTCCCCGGGGACAGGGCAGTCACGCTGAGCCCATCTCTCCTCCTCCTGTCGGCCAACCCCACTCATTCATTTTCTCAGCGTGTTCATTCAACAAAAAGAAACTGACCGCCTACTACGTGCCAACCACTGTGCTTAGGCGGTCACTGTTTTAGGTGACTGCGTAGTGCCCGTGACGGCTACAGGCTCCGAGACCTGAGAGAGGTCTCACCCCGCCAAGCCTGATCGGAAATCAGCACCTAGGCGACTGGAGGAGTAGGACGGCTCAGGCCCGCACCACCCACGGTGGGCAGGGGTGGAGAAATCCTGGAAAGGGCCAGCCTTGGAAAGAGAGACCGAGCCCTTTAAGACAGCTTTCCAAGCGGGGTGGTGACAGGCGCGGAGTGAAGCTCCACGTGACTTTTCCACACGGACAGAAGGGCGGAGGAGCGCTCCTCCACAGTCGGCTCTCTTTCTCCTACCTCTTTCCCAGAGCACCAATCAAATTTCGCGGTAGGCGGGAGTGCCCATGCAGAAGAACCAATCGCGGCAGAAGAACCGTGTGGGGGTGGGGGGCGGGGCTCGCCGCCAGTTCCACCCCGAGCGGGAATGGGCGGGGTCTTCGCGTGCCAGCTGTAGCCGCTCGCTGTCGGGCGGGGCGGAGGAGGTGAATGGAGCCGCAGGTAGCGCTGGAACAAAGCGGATCCACTCAAGCGGCGCGCGTGCGCAGGACCCGCCGCGGTTTTCCTGCGGAGTCGCGGAGCTCGCGGCTGGAGCCCGTGGTTGGTCTGGTCCGTCCCCTGCCGGACAGAGGGCCCCCACTTCCTTCGGGCTTAACCCTCCCGCTCGGCCCGAGACTAGGCGCACCGCCACCTTGCCTCCACCCGCGGCTGCAGGGAGCGGGATCAGAGGTGGGGGCCCCTGCAACACGGACGGTTTGAGATTTCGCGGACCGGATGGCACTGAGAGGGGCGGCCCTGGGGCAGTTCCGCTCCTCGCAGTATTCCTTGCGAAGGATAGTTTATCTGAAGGGTTCCATTCCGGGCCACAGGGCTGGATGGCAAAGAAGCAGGGGTCTCTCCCCTAGTCACAGCCCCACAAAGACCGCAGCATTGTAGTCGGAGGTTGTCTCATCGCCCAGGGCTGCCCTGGCGTTGCTGGGCAAAGCCTAGCTCCCTGGGGCCCTGGGACCCGTGGAACGAGCTTGCAGGGCTGCCATGCCCGGACCCAGAATCTGCCCTGCCACTTGGTGCCGTGCTCTGGGGTCCTCACCTCCCCGAGCCTGGCGGTCCAGGTGTAGGAGAGTGCTGGCCTGGACAGTCCCCAGCCAGTCCATCACAAGCCCAGCCGTTTAGGAGGGGACCTCTCCGAGGCCAGGCCCCTTGGCTGGCAGCCCAGGAGCTAGCTGTCAGGGATGGAGGCAGCACTCAAAGAAGAGCCCAGAGCAGGCCCACCGGGAGGGAGCCTGCTGGCCAAGGAAGTGTGCGCCTCCGGAGCTGACGGCCGAACTGGCCTCTGCTCTCAGTAGTGAGGACACAACTGAAATGGGACCCTCCCCTGCACCCCGACAGTCCCCGTCCCCCATGCATGAGGGAGAACCACCTTGGAGAGAGAAAAGGAGGTCCTGCCACCCTCACATGAGCTGGGGTGGCTCTCTCAGGTCTCCCCTGCCCCCAGCCCTGCCCCCATTGCCTGGGTTTCTGAGTGGAGCCCTTCCTGCAACCTTGAACAGCTAGACACAATGCATAAAATGGACCATAGAGGGCCACCCTGGGGTGGGTGGGGCCAGGGGTGAGGGGGGCACAGAACCCTCTGACTTACAAGGCCTGGAACCCTGCAGGAACTTGCCCGTGGTAGGACAGCAGGAAGCTGGAGCGGGCCCTGCCCGGCAATGGTTTCAAGAATGTGGCCTTTCCTGCCCCCAGTTCGGGCCCCCTCTCACCTGCAGCCCCCCGGAGCGGCGTCTGCCCACCAGGCCTGTTCCCCCTCCTGCCATCCCTGTCTCATCCCGGCTCACCCAGGAGCCCGTCCCGATCCCAGAGGCATGTTAGCAGCTGCCCTCCCTGTCCACACACATCCAGCCCTGGAACCGCACAGAGAAGGGGCCGTCCCAGCAGGGCGCAGCGCGGCCGTGGTGGTGGGCCGAGCAGATGTGAGCTGGTCTGCACCCCCGTGCACGTGCCTGCATGGTGTAGTGGCCCAGGAGCTGTGTCACAAGAATAGTGTTGGCATCTTAGGATTAGACTTTCCTTCTCCCACTGCTGTCCGGGGCTTTCTTAGAGACGGGCGCCCTGTTTTGAATGGCATTTGCCCAAGGAGGAGAGGGTCAGGCAGTTCCGTTCTGTGCCCCCCGTCCTGAGAGGCTAGCACAGATCTGGGGGGAGCTCCCAGGAGGGCAGCCTTCCAGCAGGGGTCTGTCTCTCATCCCACCGTGAATGCAGAGCAGGGCCTGGGGCTGTGGCCGCGCCCCCTAGCCCCTGACGCCAGCCTCTGCCCAGGGCAGCTCCACTGTGCTGCAGGGAGACGTGCAGTCTGAGCCCTGCCTGGGACCCAGACGGGTCACCCCTCTTGCCCTTGACCCTTGGGACAGCTTCTTCCCTGCTCCTTGGTGAGGTGCCAGCTCAGGTTGTGGTCTGACAAGTGATGCCTGAGCAAGCTGGCGAGTCCCCTGCCTGGAGAGGACTCCTGGCTGCACTCACCCATACACGTGTGCAGGGACACACATACAATGCAGAGCCCTCCCCATCTATGCACAGAGGCTCAGGGACACGTGCGGGTACACAGACATAGACACAGAGCTGTGCTCGAAGGCAGAAATACACGATACATGGGCGCGTGCGGACACACAGACCTGTATGTCTGGGCACTGGCCGCTCTCTCCGAAGGGGACCCCCCCAGAGGGGTTGTTACTGACAGACGGGAGCCACGCCCCCCTCCCCTAGCCCCCAGTCACCTGGGCTCACCCTGCCCCATTGGCCGGTGTTGGGGTCTCAAGGTGACAAGCCCTGGGTGGAACGCGGAGGGGCAGCAGGATGGCATGGGGAAGCTGGTGCCTGGGACAGCTCTGGTGCCAGGCAGCCACGCGTCTGTTCATCCTCTCCGGGCCCTGCCCAGGTGCATGGGGTGGAGGGGGCAGGAAGAAGGGGCCCTGCGGAGCAGGGAGCCGGGAGGGTCACACCCAGGAACGTCAGAGAACAAGACCCAGCAGGAAGGCAGCGGGGGCCCGGGACATGTGGGAACTCCCCACGGCTGCCAGCGGAGGCAGAGCGGGGAGAAGGAGGACAGCCTCCCCTCCCTTTGAGTCCAGACCTTTTCTGAGCGCCTGCCCTGGGCCAGGGAGCGTGTGGGGCAGTGAGTGGGACCTCAGAGGGGCTCCTCCTCCCAGCTCCCCACCCCGCGGTGACAGCAGGGGCTCCGCCATCCTCCCCGTGTGGGTCCCCTGGAGCCACTCTCCCAGCCACATACCCAGCCCACGGGGGCCAGCCTGAAAATGGAAAATAGGACATGGAAAATAGGGGACCAGGGGTCACCACTCTGCAACGCTTTGTCCCTGGCAGACATTACCAGTCACTCACAGCACTTCTGGCTGAGCCAAGCGGTGGCTTTAAAACCCTCCTAAGCTGGGACTGGCTGTGGCAGACAAGGGACATGAGACCTATTCGCTAAACCCTCGAGTCATAGCCGGACCAGCTATGGCCTCTCTACCCCCTCCCCCAGCTCACTTCACCCCAACCTCCTCCTGCTCCCTGCCCTGCATCCCAGACATGGCACTTCCTCATTCCCTGCCCCCACCCTCAGAAATCAGCTTCTCCCACCCCGGGAAGACTGCCCTGCCTGACCTCAGCGGTGTCACCGCCTCTTCTGATCCCCCCCGGGGGGGCCCCATGTGCTGCCCTCTACCCACTTAAGCGCAGTTTGGCCTACAGGGGTCTGGGGTGGGGCAACTAGGCCTTCCTCACTGCCCCCGCCTCCAAACCAAGCTCCTGCTGTTACAGGTTCCCTAAGAGCAATGGGGGAGCCCTGGCTGGGTAGTTCATTTGGCGGGAGCATTGTCCCAACACGCCAAGGTTGCAGGTTTGATCTCCGGTCAGGGTCCCTGCAAGAACCAACCAAAGGGTGCATCAGTAAGGGGAACAGCAAATCGACATTTCCCTCTCTCTCTCAAATCAGTACATTTTTTAAAAAGAAAGAAATAAATAGGAGGGACAGGGGTCTGCTGGTTTGGTTGGCCCGGGCAAACAAGCCGTTCCAGGCCGGCTCGGGGCTGACTCGGGGCTGAGCACACGTGGGCCCGGCTCCTGTCCTGGCCTAAGGGTCACGCCCTGCGTTGCAGTCCTCACACGCTCAGCCCCAGCCTTCACCCCAGTTTCCCCAGTGAGGCGAGCAGAGCAGGGCTTGTCTGCTCTACAGATGAGAAAGCTGAGGCCTGGGAAGGGAAATGTCTGTTTCGAGGGCCTGGCTCCAGCCCAAGCCGGTTACTCACTTGCCCACTGGGCTGGGCTGAGTCACTGTG